GTAAAACCCAAAGGACAATTATTGTTCTCCTGGAATAATGTGCAAATCAGAACATATCAGGAGAGCTTGTAGCAGAATGCGCAGAAACTGAACCCCTCAGGCATTGCTAGAAATACAGCACAAACCACATTCAACCCCTTGCACCTCCTGTTACAAGGAGCAGGTTGAAGTTGCTAGGAATACACCTGATATCTATCAGTCTAAACATCAAAGAGACAGAGAGGTTACCTCGAGAAATTAAAGATGCAGGGATAGTCAGGGAATCTGGACATCCCTGTTTTAACCCACAAAAAAAAATTCTTCTGCAAACTAAGTTGCACCCAAATTTCCAACAGTCACTTTTGTCAGATGAAGATGCAAAGTGTCTGTGAATTGCTCCTTATGCGTATCATCACAACAATTGGTTAAACAAAGAGTAGCAAAGGTGAACGTGATGCATCCAGCGCCAATGTGCTCATCTCCTAGACTTCTCACAGTTCTGGGTTTTGCAGCTTCTTTGGGTACTGATATTTCCAGCAGAGAAGTAGTTTGCGGTAAGATTAATGGCATATTTATCCAAGAGGTGCACTTTGGATTCCAGCGGCCATCTGGAGTGAACCTCACATTCATCAAGCTGTCCCCACCGGGGAGACAAGGAAGTTCATTTATCCTGTGCTCAGGTCTGATAGTGTAATTGCATTAGGAAAACGTAGTTTACCTACTGGATGCCATTAGTGAATTCACGTTTGTTGCCCTTACCTCTATCTGGTGAAGGAATGCTGCTATCTAGCATTCAAGGAAATCTGCATGTCGTTTAAAATATTCAGCACCTAAATGGGTGATGACAAACTGCTTCCAGCAGGGATACACACTCCTGCTGATCTGCCTGCCATCTGACAGCTGCTATGTGCTTAGCATCACTTTCTCAAACTGGTCTCTCAGCTGCTTCCCAGCGCTCCACAGAGAACTCTTTTTTCCCCTGGGTGCCCCTCTTGTAAGGTCTCTTCATGGAGCTCAGCCACCAGTGGCAAGCTGCTAAATGCTGTGTCCATGTGGCATTTGCCACATGCAGTGAGCTGTTTCACAGGCACTGGAGAACACAGTGCATTGTCTGCCTCCCCACACACCAGTCCACCTGTGTCAAGGACTAACTAAGCCCTACTTTGTCCATGTGGCATTTGTACATGGCTCTTTTTGCAAAGCTGATTTGTTTGTTCTGCAGTGCCACCACTGGAGATGTCCAGAGAGTGGAACTGCAGGTCCCTACCCAGGAGGGATCAGGTGACAAAAAAGAGCCAATTGTGTTTCATCCAGCTCTACTCAGCAGTTCATTGTACACTCTGAATATTCAGAGGATGCTCTCAGACCACCCAGTCTGCGAGCACCCAGAACCTGAAGGACCTGTGGCCCTCCTAATGTTATTGGAGTCCAACTCCCATCAGTCCCAGCCAGCATGACCAATGGCCAGAGAAGATAGGAGTTGTAGTCCTACAACAACTTGGAGAGGCGCAGGTTCCCCATCCCTGAAATAGGGTATTCAGAATCCTCTATTTCCAAAATGTCAAAGATCAAAAATTTGTGGAGCTACTTCTATATTAGAGTAACCAAGGATTTGTCAATTTCGGTCCTCTCAGTTTCTAGTATTTCCAGTCTAAATTCAGTTATTCACATTTGGAAACCAAGGCCTATTGGAAACAGTTGAAAGAACTCAGCATGTTTAATCTGGAGAAGATTTAAGGAAAGACTTGATAGCTGTGCTCAATATATCAGAGTGCTGTTGTGCAGAAGATGAGTAGACTTGTTCTCTGTTGCTCCAGAGTACTAGAACCAGTGGGTGGGAATTTGGGGGGAAGCAAATCTTGGCAAAGATTAGGAGGAATTTCCTAATTGTAAGAGCTGTTTGACAGTGGGTCAAGGATAGCAGTGCCTTGGAAGGTGGTAGGTTCTGCTTTGCTGGAGACATTGAACAGAGGTTAAGTGACCACCTGCCAAAGAAAATGTGGTTGAATCTGTACTCTAGATCCTGCACTGAGAAAAGTGTTCAGCTTGGTGGCATCCAATACCAATCTCAGTTCTCTTGACACTGCAGTTCACATATCTCAATTCACCTTTCCTGAGGTTCTTATGTTAGTTCACAAAGCACCTAAACAACTCTGGTCCAAAGTACCTTAAAGACTGCCTGCTTTCTTATGCTCAAACAGGATCACTGAGGTTTTCTGATGGGCCACTTCTACTGGTATTCCACACATCTGAGGTTTGACAGGCATTTACCAGGGACCAAGCCTTTAGCGGACACAACTTCTGCCGATAGAGGTTTGGCAGGAGTCATACCTGGCTTTAAAGATCTTCTGAAAACTGTATTATTCAGACAAGCCTTTAGAACCTGAGATTCCTTTTCCCAACTAGCTCTTATTGATGTGTCTGACTTTATTTCCATTTTATTATAGTATTACATTTTTAAATATATTTACCGCCTGTGTGGTTTATAAATGTTTATATATATAAATTCCCGCAGCAAGGAACATATGTTTGTGAGTGCAGGATCTTCCAGTATTCTATTTACTCACTACAGGCAATCCTCATTTTGTGTGGGGGTTCCATTCTGGACCCCTTGTGTGCATCACTGGAGCAAACATAAGCCTGCTCTGCCCCCCCCTTCTCTGTGACTTTTTTGGGCTACTTCCAGTTTCACTGCCGAGCGTATGTGCACAATTACGTGCCATCCAGACACGCCTAAATCAGGAGATGCCTGTACTAATAAATTCCAGATTTACTAGCACTGTACTACAATGTCAGATCGAAACTGGGGCTGAATGAAAGAAGGTGGCAACCCCCTCTTTACAAAAAGGACACAAATGATGGAATTGCATTTCAGCTCTACATTTGAGGTTTATGCACATAATAGATTGCATTAATCAAAGACAGAGATCTTTATATTGCTGTCAGAAGCTGAAGAAGCTTTACCAGTGAGTCTGAGATATTGGTCAAACTTTGTTAATCTCTTGGGCTGTCTGCCTGTCAGAAGAATTATATGGATTAGCAGGCAATAGCTCATTAACAAGCTAATTATAACAAGGTCATGGAAGCAATACCGCTTTCAAAATTTATGGAGAAATGTAGTTAATAAGGGCAGCATCTTTACATCTGAATGCAGATTGGGGACAGAAAATATTGTCTTACTTTAGTTCTTAGTCAAGGAATGATGCAAACCAGCATACTTTATGTTTAACCGAATGCTTCATAGATCCATTTGGTCAGAACTGAGGAGCAGTCTTTTCCAGATATTAGAATGCTTCCCTTATTAACTTCACTTCTTGTTTTAATAACATTGCTTGTTTTAATAACGTGATGCTCTTCGTACTTTTCAGCTTGACAAAGAGCTTTGTGAGGCTCAGAGGTTTATATGTCATCTACCCACAAACATTAGAGTCAATTAAAAATGCCATACTATGTTCAGACAGTTTGTTTGTTTTGTTTTTAATATCCTGGCTTTCTTCCAATATGATGCTAGCATTAACACTCTCTTGGACAGTGGCAGCTATAAATAAGTTCTAAAATGAATATACCTTTGGGTGTGCTGCTTTTTCAAGTAGCAATGGCCATAAAATTGGATGGCTTTAAAAGAGGATTCGACAAATTCATAGTGGATAAGACTACCGATGGCTCCTACTAGCTATGATGACCAAGTCCTACCTCCACTATCAGAGGCAGTTTACCTTTGAATACCAGTTGCTGGGAAACACAAGCAGGGAAAGTGCACTAAGAACCTGCTTGTGGGCTTCCTGTTAGGGGATACGGTTGGTATCTGTGAAAACAGGATGCTGGGCTAGATGCAACTAGATGGACTAGATTATGGTTACCAGATTTTTTTCAACGAATCCGGGGACACTTTTTTCTTTTATGCTTAGTAGCAACAGGGAGTCAGTAGTGGGGATGGTGAGGCAAAAGACCCTGGGCCCAAGCACACATGCATATTGTATAAAGGTGCAAAGCCCTTCTTTCGCACCCTGTGAAACATAAATCTGCAGAGTTTTTTTTAAAACTGGGCAACGGCGCGCTGCCTGCCCATAACTCCTGAACCTTCTACGATCTCCTTCCCCCTTCCTCCTTTGTTTTGACAGATCAGGGGAGGCTCTGGAGTCATGGACAAGCAGCAGTTGCCCAGGAGGGGCCGGCCTGATAGTGCAGTTGGCTCTGCTGGCTTCAGGAGCTGCTCCCTGCTCGCTGCCGTAGCGCAGGAAAAATGGCAGGCGCCACAGCAGTGGGCAGCAAGCACCTCCTGAAGCCAGCCAGAGCCAACTGCTCTACCAGGCTAGCTCCGGGCTGCTGAGGCTGCCGCTGCCACATTTCCCAGGGACAGATTTGCAAATCTGGGGGCATTCTGGTGACGGAATTTGTCCGGAGACAGATTTGCAAATCTGGGGACTGTCCGCAGGAACCGGGATGTCTGGTAAACCTAGACTACATGCAGGAGGCTCTTCTTATGCTTTAGATCTGGGGGCTATTGTCACTTGCTGAACCTGTTTCCCAGATATTCTTGTCTTCAGCACCTGTGTATGGGACAGTTCACTGACTGGCTGCTGAGCAATGGATAGGAAGGTTGGAGAAGACTAGGGATATGACAGCACAGTGGAGATGGAGTGGCCCACATAGGTCATCTTTCCATTAAAATGGCAGGTGACCTTCTTGACCAAGCCATTGGTTTGAGGATCAGGGCTAGAGATGGCAGTGGACACAGCCAGCTGCTAAAAGGATGCCAGCTGCTGATGCTGGCCCTGGGAGGAATTTTGGCATATGAAGAGAGACGTGACAAGTATGTTGCTATTGTCATCTGTGACATGTTGAGAGGGCAAGCTATCAGTGGGGAGTAATTTGGGGAGAATTTTCAGATATAGGAGCACAGGAACCTAGTAAGTTGCCTTATACAGTGTCAGATCATTGGTCCATCAAGCTCAGTATTGTCTACACTGATTGGCAGCATCTTTCCAGGATTTCAAACCAGGTTCTTTCTCAGTCCTGCCTGGATAGGCTGGGGATTGAACCTGGGACCTTCTGTATGAAAAACAGACGCTCTACCACTGAGCCATGTTGCTTCTCTGAGGTACCGCTGGATGCTGTCACCACCAAGTGTGTAAACCAGGTGAGAAATGTACGTCCTCAGGCATTTATTTCTTATATCCTTTCTTCCACAGATGTATCATCAGAAGCAGCTTCATCGCCAGCTCTTCAAGAGCAGTGAATATAACCCATCTGATGTACAATTTAAAGGTAACTGCAGAACATATATAACTCTTACTGGGAATCTGCTATGGTTTCTGAGCAATGGATATGCGATTCTTTCGGTCATCCCTGTGGAATTTAGTTTTTATTAATATTATTTTGCATCAGGAAAGAGGTCTCTGCTCAAAGCAAAGGGAGTTTGCACACACGGCATAGCTGAGCGAATGTTTCATTCCTGCTCCTTATCAGAGACATGCATTCATTGATCAGAGGGGAGAATTTAGCCCAAATGTTAACACAAACAAATCTAATGATGCAAATCAAATAGACAAATAGGCTGAGGGTGAATTTCAAAGCTCTTTCCAATTTAGAAACACAGCTCTGGAGCACTGTGCCAAGCGCAAATTGCAATGAATTACGAGCAAGCTCCAAAAAAGCGACTGAGAAAATTGTATGATTAAAAGGCAGTCATTTTGAGCAACAATTGCCTTGCTACAACACACAGGACTTCTAAATTATACACATCAAAAGGGGCAATTCACTGCTGGACAATAGCAGGGAAGTTAGTCCAGAATTCTTTCAATTTGTCTTGTTACCCTATTGAACTTCAGGCCCTTTTTTGTGCAAACTGATCCAGCTTTCAAAGTCAATTCCATGGGTAATTAGGCCTTCTTCGCACCTGCTCGGAGCAGCATGAGGGAACCACTTCCATGCAGTGTGATTTCATGCTCCAGGGGTGTGCGCATGAGAACACTATGACCATGTGGGTGGTGCCAATTGCATGGATCTTTCTAATCGGATCAGTGCTCTTTGCCTCAGTGGGATGCAGAATGCATGAGAAAGACCTGCACAGTATGTCCATGTGATAGTATTATATGCACAAATGCCTGCGCAAAAGCAGCTCCCCTGCTCCTCGAAACATGCCCAAAGAATGCCTCAGTCTTGAAATATTCTGATATTGCATTCCTTTATGACTGAACATGCAAGTATAGGCAAACTTGGGCTAGGGAATCCTGAAGGTTACTTTGTGTCCCTGCCATCACCCCCCCCCCTTTTGCAGGCTACTTGTAAGAGCATAGTGTAGTGCAGCAAGCTGGAAATGCAACAGCAGGGATCATTCCATTTGTAACATAAGGGTTAATTCTGTTCGTGTTAAAGTCAACTAGCCAAGAGGCAGAGTGGCATGAGTTTCAATGTTACACTATGTGCTCTGATTGGCTGTGTAGTTCTGAGGGAGCTTTCATTTGTATGTTTTTGCTTGCATGGCTGCTCCTCCCAGGCTCTGGAACTCCCTCTCTAGAACAGCTAGACTGGCTCCCTCCTTCCTGTCCTTCTGGCAGCAGCTGAAGACTTTCATGTCCCAAATGGCTTTTGGGAACTAACTGCTTTTAATGAAAGGGCTGGTGCCGTGCTGTCTTTATTGCAATGATTGGTATGAATTAAACAGATTTTATAGATGCATATAGCATTATTTCTATTAATGTGTAGCTGCTTTTTTAATGGTGGATTTTTCTATATTTTCAGTGGTTCTCGTTTTTATCTAGAAGCTGCCTGGAGTTCCATCAGGGAAAAAGTCAGGGTATAAATAAATATACAGTCATACCTCAGGTTGAAGTAGCTTCGGGTTGAGCGTTTTCAGGTGACGTTCCGTGGTGACCCGGAAGTAACGGAACTTGTTACTTCCGGGTTTTGCCGCTCGTGCATGCACAGACGCTCAAAATGACATCACGTGCATGTGCGGAAGTGGCGAATCGTAACCTGCGCACATGCAGACGCAGGTTATGTTCGCTTCAGGATGTGAAGGGGGCTCTGGAACCAGAGAGGTTCGCATCCAGAGGTTCCACTATATAACAATAATAATGCTAAAGCCGCTTCCGCCCTGCAGAGGAGGTGGGATTGTGGGCATCATGGCCCCACCACGCATGTGGTGGCTGGAGCCCAGCCCCCGCATGATTGGGAGAATCCCAGGCTCTGTGACCCCCTGGCCAGCCAATCGGCTGGCTTTGGGGGCATGGCCCGCCCGATTTAAATGCAGGCATGGCCGGGGATCTCCCTCTTTTTCCGCATGACAGCTGTTCCTGTTTCCCACCCTCCCACCCTTTAAACTTTTCGTTCCTTGACTTGGTTTTCGCCTACCTCGTAGCAAATCGTCACAACTTTCTTAGTATTGGCGGTTAGGCATTGGTATTGGTATTGTTTTGTAGATGGAAGAGGGGAGGAAGCGCCATCACCTGCCCCGCATATTGAAGGGTAGTCCGATAAAGGATTCAGGGGGCATGGCCCTGTCCGAAGCCTATGGGGGTGAGGGCCTAACACCCCCCCCACGCGGTGACCCCAGGGAGTTCCTAGTTGATGTGCATCAGCAGAACTGATGGTTAACGCTTCCCGGACTTCAAGCGGACAGGCTGAAGCCGGATAGTCTGTTAGGACCAATGCCAAAGCCAATACCACTCATCACCTGTAACCAATAAAGTTGTGGCCATATTAACCTTAAATAATTGTGTCATGTGTCTTTATTTCCCCTGGAGGGGGCGGGAACTTGCCACGCAATGACAATAACGACGACAACAACAACATCTCCCATAGGCTTCACCTATGAAAGACAAAACCTCTCTTTCTTGTCAAATTATACACTGCCCCCCATAGGAACCTGTTTGGCCACTGTGAGAACAGGATGCTGGATTAGATGGGTCACTGGCCTGATCCAGCCAGCACATCTTATGCTCTTAGGTGATGACGACAGTAGGTAGATCAGCAGTGAAGCATATTCTCTGCATGCAGAAGCCTCTGGATTCAATCCTTGGTACGCTGGCTCGGATCATACCTGCATGTGCATTGTTTCACCAGGGTAGTGCATGCCCTGGTTACCTCCTGCTTGGACTACTGCAATGCGCTCTACATGGGGCTACCTTTGAAGGTGACCCGGAAACTACAACTAAGCCAGAATGTGGCAGCTGGACTGGTGACTGGAAGCAGCTGCCAGGACCATATAACACCAGTCCTAAAGGATCTCTACACTAGCTCCCAGTATGTTTCCAAGCACAATTCAAAGTGTTGGTGCTGAACTTTAAAGCCCTGAACAGCTTTGGCCCTGTATACCTGAAGGAGCGTCTCCACCCCCATTGCCTAGCCTGGACACTAAGGTTCAGCTCTGAGGATCTTTTGCTGGTTCCCTCACTGTGAGAAGCAAAGTTACAGGGAACCAGTGAGAGGGCCTTCTCAGTAGTCATGCTGGCCCCACAAAATGCCCCCGAAGCAGATGTCAAACAGAAAAACAGCTATGTGATTTTTAAAAAGAATCTGAAGGCAGACCTGTTCAGGGAAAATTTTAGTAGTAGATGTTGTATTGCGTTTTTACTAGTTTTTGTTGGGAGCTGCCCTGAATGGTGGAGGTAACCCAGTCAGATGGGCAGCATATAAATAAATCATCATCATCTCTGGGTAGGGCTGTCTGAAACCTTAGAGACCCATGGCAACACCAGAGAATTTGAATACTATATGAGATGGGGTAGTGGTCTGCCTCAGCATAAGGCAGGTTCCTCATGTTCCAATACATTTCCAGGAAAGGGCAAACAATAATAAAACATTGAGGTGTTCAAGAGACTTTAATCTTTCTCTGGCTCTCGATGCACCTCAACAGCCCTGGAGTTGACAAATGCAATAACCTTCGCACACAAGAATTCTGTTCCTTTATTCTTTCTCTCATCTGTTCTGCTTCTGGTGCTATCTGGCAACGGCACCACAGCCTTGGCGCACACTAGTGGCGGCTTCTCGGCCCCATGCACTGCTCCATCTGTTTGCGCGTGTGAGCGGGAAAGGTGCCATTGTTGGAGTCCTTGTGCCATGAATTATACATGCTGCTGGCAGCTCTCGGCAACACTCTGGGTCAAGAAAGCCACAGGCCAGTTGTGATGCGGGACCAGAAATTGGCGGATAACCTTGCAACTCCATTCAAAGAAACAGGAAGATCAAACTCTCCTGCAATCTCAGCCAGAACAGTGGCATTCGTGTGTATCAAGAGCTGCCTTATGGAAACTAGATGCACTGAAGGAAAATGCTCCTTTATTGCCACCAGGAACTTTAAACAGGAGGTAACGGTTATTAAGAAAACTGATATGTGTGCATAGCAGGGTTGAAGAAATACCTAAATAAATCACTCCTTCTATTAGCAAACTCAGCTGGTGAATGCCAATAGGATTGTTGCTACAGTGTGGCAAGTAAAAAACAGGAGAGGGTATTGTTATGCTTGAGGGAAACCCAAAGTTTGCAAAGGCACAAGAATATTGATTGATTGATTGATTGATTGATTGCATTGGGCAACCTTCCCTGTCCTCAAACAGCTCAGTGAGGACTGAGTATGTTCAGTAGCCAATAATTTGCTGGCAGGGAAGGGGAGGCAGGAAGGGGAGAATGGAGTGTTCTGGAAATGGGGATGGGTGGCAGGATAAAACCCTGTGAGAAGTACACCTAACAGATGTGGTTTCTTAGGGAACTCCTGTCTCCAGGAGGTTCTTAAATCTTTCTGGGCTGCTCTCATTATCAGAAAGGGTCAGGTTAGAATGAATGACATTCAGCCTTTTGTATTGACATGGTTCTTAAGTAAATCTATAATGCCCTTTTGTGAGGGGGGGCAAAGAGAAATATTGGGGATCAGTACATTCTAAAAATCAAATAACCTGTGCCCCTTTCAAGCCTCTGCTGTTTTTTTCTGGACGTCTCTCTTCCTTGCTTGACATCTGACAACCCTTTCAAGGGGAGCATAGGTGCCACTCTAGCTGTGGGATGCTGCCAGACAGCTATAAAGATCAGTTGTTCTTTGATGTGTTATCTTGTCCTTCAGGGTCAGCCTGTAATCTCCAGTTTAGGAATTTA